GTGAATGACCCGCAGGCCAGCAGCGACTGCCCCTCACAGCCCTGTTCATCTGTTTTGGTGGTTTCGCTCTCTCCATCACAATGTTTGCCGGTTCTCCGATCTATGCGCGCTTATCACCACCGTCAGCATCAGCCTAGAACCTCGACTTTTTATTCGTGCCAGTCAGCACACTTCTATCCTCTTATCGCCGCTCAACAGTGTACCGCTGCCTACCGCTGCAGCCCAGCCGTTGAAGACTAAAAGGCAAGCCAGAAGATAGCCAGAGGGGGCCACCACCGCCAAGCCCCGCAGCAGCAGCAGCATCCAAAATGGTGGACGAGCGAGATTTGCAGAAGATGAAGGTGGCGGAGCTGAAGCAGATGCTTCACGACTACGGGGTGACGCCCAGAGGTGAGTGGGGGCTGTTCTACACTGGTGGAACAGCTCGGTTTGATTTGATTTGTCACATTGCAATTTCTTTTTTTTTATTATCTTTTTTTGGCAGGACTGAAGGCTGACCTCGTGCGACAGCTTTTAGAAGTGCTCATGCAGCGGGAGCAGCAGCATCGCCAGCAAGACCACCAGCAACACCAGCAACATCAGCAGCAGCAGCAGCAGCAACAGTTGCAGCAACAACAGCAAATGGCCATGCAGCAGCAGCTGGCCTATCAGCAATCCCTGGCGGCCGGTCTGGAGATGCATAACCAACTGGCTGGCGCTGCCACGCTGCCGCCCGGTGTTGAGGCGGTCAACGACTACGGCGAACAGCTTTACCAGCAGCAGCTGCATCAGGCACAGCTCCAGGAGCAGCAGTACTTGATTCAACAGCAGCAGCAGCAACAACAACAACAACTGCAACGTCAGGCACTCTTTGCCGAGCAACAGCAGCGTCTTCAAGAGGAGCAACTGCGGCTTCAAGAGGAGCAACGTCTGCAACGACTCCAGCAGGAGCAACAACAGCGTCTCCTGCAGGAACAGCAACTTCAGCAAGAGCGCCTTCAACAGGAGCGGCTTCAACAGGAGCGGCTTCAACAGGAGCGACTTCAACAGGAGCAACTCCATCAAGAGCGCCTTCAACAGGAGAGAATCCAGCAGGAGCGTCTTCAGCAGGAGCGTCTCCAGCAGGAACAGCTTCTACTTCAGCAACATCAACAGTATCTGCAGCAACAACAGCAGCAGCAAATGATGCTGAATCAGCAACAGCAGCAACAGCAGCAGCAACTAGTGGAGGGCTATCCTCCTCAGGCGAGCAGCGTCGTCGATGCGTCCATTCCGGTGCCCGGCTACTACGAGCAGCCAGTGCCGGCAATGATGATCGCTCCCTCGCCGGTAGCAGAGCAGCAGCAGTCNATGCGTCCATTCCGGTGCCCGGCTACTACGAGCAGCCAGTGCCGGCAATGATGATCGCTCCCTCGCCGGTAGCAGAGCAGCAGCAGTCTGCCTCCACTTTGGGCGCCTACGAGTACGACAACTCGCCCGAGGAGAACAGCTACAGCCAGCCAGGTATGGGCGGCGGCGGGGGCGGCATGCCGGCGGGCGTCATTCAGCCGACACCGCCGGAGCCGGCAGAGTACCTCGACGATGGCACCAACAACACCAGCCAGGATGCGCCCTCGGTCACCTCGGAGACGTACGACAATGGAGTGGCTCCTCCGCCAGAGGAGTTGCTTTCTGGCTCGTCCGCTTCTCCGGAGAGGAACGAGGAGGAGGGGTATCAGCAACAGCAACATCTGCAACAACAACAACAACTTGGAGTCGCATATGAGAGCGACTCAAACTCTCGAAATGTACCTGAAGAGACTGAAGAGGAGGATGAGGAGAGCGTCAGCGAGTCGCAGGCGTCTCAGTTCGCCACTGACACTGTCTCTGAAGTGCCAGAGGAGTCTTCTGATTCTACTGACCAGGTTGAAGGGGCGATGGCAGATCAGTTTGAGCCTCCACCACCTGAAGAAGAAGTGGTCGAGCCGGCATTTGAACAGCAAGAAGAGGAGGAGGAAGAGGCTGCATTTGAGCCACCACCACCACCACCACCAGTGGAGATGGCTGCTGCTGCTATTTCAGCTGTGGAGCAAGAAATGCCTTCATTCGATTCCGGTGTTGTGGCCAGCTCCTATCAGTTGTCAGCAGAGGTGGTGACAAATGACGTTGAGCAGCAGCAGCAGCAACAGCAGCAGCAACAACAACAAACTGATGAAGAGGCTAAAGAGGAAAAGCTGCAGCCACAACAACACTTTCCGCCAGCTGAAGCCATGGTGAATGGAACGCCAGCTACTCTGCCCGCTGATCCAAAGCCAGCGGTTGTAGTCGTGCCCGATGAAGACGATGACGAAGAAGGAGAAGAAGAAGAAGGGGAGGACGATGACGGCGCCGCCTCGCTGCCGCTGCTCTCTGAAGCCGAGATTGCAAAGCTGAGCAAGAACCAGCGGCGAAAGTACAAGAAGAAGCTTCGCAATCGGCAGAAGCGTAAGGAGCGAAACCTGGTGGAGAAGAAGAAGCAGGAGCTGGCGAAGCTGCTGGCGAACCAGCTGAAGGGCGTCGAGGAGAAGGGCGGTAAAGCGGTGAAAAGAGAGGTCGTCGAAGACGAAGGCGAAGACGACGCCATGGAGATCGACGACGAGGACGAGGCTGAAGAGGAGAAGGAGAAGAAGCGCCGCTTGGAGGAGGAGGAAAGGCGACGGAAGGAGGCGCTGAAGAGGGAGGAGGAGGAAATGAAGAGCTCACTGCCGGAGAAGGTCGAAATTGAGTAAGTGTTCTTGTGTACCATCATCAGTAACATCTTCAGACTAATCTTTGTCTCTATGTACAGGTACGTCCCGGAGGCGATTCCCAAGGACCCGGTGTACATGCAGTTCCTGAAGGTCTTCGACAAATTTTCCGCCGTGTCGCCGGACGAGGCGAGTCGCCTGGAGGCAGAGCGGCTGGCGGAGGCGCACCGCAACCGCGACGACCGCGCCAAGATGCTGGAGATGAAGAAGCCCATTGAGCTGGAGCTGAAGGACGACGACGAGGGGGCGGTGAATGCGGACGGCTCGGCGAGGCTCTCCAAGCGGCGGCTGAAGGCGCTGACGCGCATGAGCATCGCCGATCTGAAGCAGAATGTCACCCACCCGGAGCTGGTGGAGATGCACGACGTGACGGCCCGCGACCCCATTCTCCTGCTGCAGCTCAAGTCGACGCGGAACACGGTGCCCGTGCCGCGCCACTGGTGCTACAAGCGGAAGTACCTGCAGGGCAAGCGCGGCTTTGAGAAGCCGCCTTTCAAGTTGCCCGAGTTTATCCGCCGCACCGGAATTCAGGAGATGCGCGAGGCGGTGCAGGAGAAGGAGGACGCCAAGTCGCTCAAGTCGAAGATGCGGGAGAAGATTCGCCCGAAGATGGGCAAGATCGACATTGACTACCAGAAGCTGCATGACGCCTTCTTCAAGTGGCAGACGAAGCCGAACATGACCATCCACGGCGACCTCTACTACGAGGGCAAGGAATTTGAGACGCGCCTCAAGGACAAGAAGCCCGGCGACCTGACCACGGAGCTGCGCTCGGCGCTGGGCATGCCCACCGGGCCGAACGCCAGCAAGTGCCCGCCGCCGTGGCTGATTGCCATGCAGCGGTACGGCCCGCCGCCCTCCTACCCCAACCTGAAGATTCCCGGCCTGAATGCGCCCATTCCCGAGGGCTGCTCCTTTGGCTACCACGCCGGCGGCTGGGGCAAGCCGCCGGTGGACGAGTACGGCCGACCGCTGTACGGCGACGTCTTTGGCATCACCGCCGCCGCCAACGACCTGGCGCTCATCGAGGAGGAGGTGGACCGCAGCAAGTGGGGCGAGCCAGAGTCCGAGGAGGAGTCGGAGGCGGAGGAGGAGGAGGAGGAAGAAGGGGAGGAAGGCGGCGGCGATGAGGCCGAGGGAGGCCAGGTGGATCGGTCGGGTCTGGTGACGCCGGCCGCCGAGGGCCTGGTCACGCCCAGCGGCTTCTCCACCGCCCAGGGCATTGAGACGCCGGACATGATTGAGCTGCGGAAGCGGAAGCAGGCCATTGAGGCGGAGATGGAAAGGTGAGAGATCTTATATCTTTTTTGTTATGTTATGTTGTTTTCTAATCCCTTTTCTCTCCTTCTCACTTTAGCGGCGAGAACCCCGCCCTGTTCACGGTCATTCCGGAGAAGAAGACGGACCGCTTCGGCAAGGAGATGATGGGCTCGATGCACGTCTACGACTTTGCCTCCCTCTCCAAGACCAGCTCCAAGTCATCTTCAAGGCACGGCGACGGCGTCGAGGTGGCCCTCGACCCGAGTGAGCTGGAAGACGGGGGCGGCCTGGACAGCAACCAGATGGCGGCCAAGTACGAGCAGTCGTTGCGGCAGCAGTCGGGCGGCAATCCGCACGAGGACCTCAGCGACATGGTGGCGGAGTACGCGGCCAGCAAGCAGCAGCACAAGCGGAGAAAGGGCGGTGACCAGAGTGGTGGTGGTGGTCAGTCGGACGGCGCCAAGTCCTCCACCTCGCGAGACAAGGCCAAGAAGTACCAGTTTAAGTTTTAAGTGTGTCCTTTTCTGACACCTGTTCAACTGTAGTAGCCTCCTCTTTCACCTTTAGGTAGTATAGTAGAACCCATTCACCCATATACATTCAATTCAATTCTCACATCCCATTTGTTTGTTCCTTGGTCCTTGGTCAAGAAGCACACACATTTCTCTCTCTCTCTCTCTCTCTCACACTGTAATCAGTTTTGCTTATCAATGTGAAGATTCTGATGGTCAATATTAAGTACAACCAAGTACTACTGAAACAAATTCAATAGAAGTAGGCTAAACCTATTGTTGAATAATTTATTCTCAACAAATGATTTTTTCTTTTTGCTCATTCAAAGTGAACGAGTTTCCATTCACAATGAGTTTGTGGTGCTCAAATTTTGTATTCTGAAGTGCTTCCGGACAAGCAAAAAATAACAAAAATGTAAGAACGAAAGATGACCTGTTGTTAATGGTCAACCAATTGAAGCACGAGAATTGCAATCCACTTCATTAGTTTAGAAGCTGGCCCTGTGAGGAAGCGGCCTCGGAACCCGATGACTCCTCAACAAGGTCGCCGTGAAGAGAAGTCGTGGCAAGAGGAAGAAAGGCCGAAACAAAGTAGGCCAGGATGG